ATACAAAAAAAGAAGAAGGGATCCTAACTGATTCAAAAAGAAGCTCTTTTCCTGTAACGAGCTAATGAACTCTAACAAGCTGTCTTCATCATTTACATCTTGAATGTTGCACCAGAAAGTTAAAAACCATAAACATATGTACTTTAATAACTGTACCAGGTTGTCTTTCCCTTCGTTGACTAGTTCAAGATCATCTCTTGGTGTGTGTTGGTGTAACTTCTGCATAATATGCTATGCTGATTCCTTTATTTCAAGCTCTTGGTACTTCAATGATCTAACAGATTCCCTAATTTTTATAGTATCAACTAGCAAGTTTAACTCTCAGTCAGCTAGGTTCTTCTGTGTAAATTTAGGGGGGTTGGGGTAGGGGGTGGGGCAGAACAAAGGAAACTGATTATACATCTCCGTGCATTTACATCTAAAGGAAAAAACACTACTAATGCTGAGTGGCCAATCAAAACTATCTTCGCTTGTTTTATGTTTCTTCTTCTTTACTCTGAAGAAATCGAACATAGCATCCCTTCATTTTCTTGGTCAGCGCTGTAAAAGTTGAAAAGGATGTGACAGCATCATTTATCAAATTAATATATCACGTGGGCTAACTTTTTAAAATAATTTCCCATTTGTATAAAATTACAAAACTTAAGCGCCCTAAAACAAATTATAGAGAAAAAAGAGGGATGCATACGTAACCAATTTCCATTTTAGCATTAAGCAAATATGCTCTTGCTTGCTCCTCTATGTTGTGAAAAGTTGAAGTATAATTATAGTGACCTAAGTGAACCATTCTTCCTTTAGAGATTTGGTCTTCATCTGGGACTATGTGTTTTCAAGACTAGAACAGTCAGCTCGAGAAAATAGGGTGCTAATTTAGTCCGATGCAACCCCAGGGCATCATTCAGTGGCAAAGTTTTACACAGATTGTGGTAAGCCCACATCATGTGTTTGAGTCTTGCTTTCAACCAAACCTCGTATTTACGTGGAGACAGGTAGAGGGCCAGATCCACTATAAAACAACAGATTTCTCGGTTATCAAGAATTTAGTAAAATGCAGGTTTAGGTACATCAGATTATTTTCTTCTTCCACCATATATAGGGTTTCAGATTGAATCTCCTTTAGACTTAATAATCTATAAAGATCTTAATTAATAAAAATCTTTGCAGGCCTTTGTTCAAATATGAAATTGCATTTTATTCATGGACTCACACTTAGCTCAATCCATTGACAAAGAAAGCCATCCATTGAGTCAAACCCCTTAAAGAGCGTTCAAATGTTTCAGTTGCAACTTACCCTTGTTGAAATATTTGAAATTGGGGATTAACCTTTCAATGTTTTTGCATGACAGGTTGAGATCGCCAAAGCTTATGAAAGAGGTGGAGCAGCATGCCTTAGTGTTTTGACAGATAAAAAATATTTTCAGGTAAAGGTTCAAATTGCCAATACGGATAATGTTCTTTCTAGTAATTAATGGCTTTAGGGGATAGTAAAATTACTATCTAGTAACACCGCTATCAGAGTCATTTACTGTAAAAAAATAAATTTCATAATGTAAATGCAATGACCAAAATAAGGTGAAGGTATGATCACTCTTAAGATAACAATGTTGAGATTAGTTTCTTCCTATGATTTTCTAGTAGGAATCTTAAATTGTAGTTGAAGTATTTGGCAAAGTTGCAAGCATTTTGTTCCTTCTGATGCAAAGGGAATCTAATCAGGAATGTTCAAATATTTTTATCCTTTTTCATCAATTGAAAAAAATATTTGTATCCTTTTCCTAATAGGGCCTTAAATTGTAATTGAAGTGTTTGAAAAAACTTGTGAATATGATATGTTTATGTTACAGTTTTCTGTTCTGATAAAAAAGGATAAACCAACCATCCCATTTAAGCGAATGACTAAACACCTGATTAGCAGTTGTGGAGGTAGGTAATTGGGATGCATAATGGAGTTGTTTAGGAAGTTGCATCAACTGTGACAATTAGCCTATAGACTATACTAATTCTTGGTGTATTATGGAAGTGCTTAGATGCAGATTGTCAAATGATTTTCCAATTGTTGATTATGATTTTCTCTTTCTTTTTGTGAATTAGGGAAGCTTTGAAAATCTAGAGGCTATAAGGAATGCTGGAGTAGAGGTATGCAGGTTCCCTCATAGTTTTTTGTACAACCTATAATATTTCATAATTGAGTCCTTAACAGTTTTTCATTGAACTCCAACTTTGCAGTGCCCTTTGTTGTGTAAAGAATTTGTTATAGAAGCTTGGCAACTGTACTATGCTCGGGTTAAAGGTGCCGATGCAGTTCTGTTAATTGCTGCTATTCTACCAGATCTTGACATCAAATATATGATTAAGATCTGCAAATTACTTGGATTGACAGCACTAGTTGAGGTAAATTGTTACTATCTCCACTCCTACTTTTCGACCATTCCATGAACTGAAAGGCAAATAATTCAAAATCTACGCATCGGTATTTTTACAAAAAATTGTATTTATCTTTCATTGACGAAAAGGAAATGTCAGCTTCCATTTGTTAGAGGCAGTTGTTATGTTTCATGGATATGAAAGATATTTGGTATAAGTTATTTTCTTCATGAAAGATTGTTTTCAATATGCATATATTGGTTTTTGGATTTCTATTTATTCTTATTATAAACTACAAATCCTTTATTGATGTTAATATCTTTCTGTCATTGCAAGGATTCTCACTTTTCCAAAAAAAACGAGCTTCTCTTTCTGTATCTCTGTTTTATTTCGTTTCCTTATAATAACCATTTCAACTTCTTGCGCTTCTTCTAGGTGCATGATGAGAGGGAAATGGATCGTGTCCTCGGAATTGACGGGGTTGAGCTTATTGGCATCAATAATAGAGACCTTGGTAAATTGCATAATTAATTCTACACCACCAATCTACTCGTTTCTCAATGCAATACATGCTGTCAACTACTATAAGGAGACAAATTTAACACCAAAGGCTAACATGACCCTCTTGGGTTTGGGTTGTCTTTGTGTGTGTGTGGGTGTTTTGGGGGGGGGGGGGGG